GGCTAACTGCATTTATCAGGGCACGTAAAGCTGTGATGATTAATTCAACCCAGGACCGTGAATTGATTGCTACAGCGACAAGATTATCCCGCCGAGACAGGTGGCTGTCTGAATGCCTCCCTCTCTTGCGGAGCGCGTAGATAGGCTGATTCATCAGTACTGCTACAAGCACACGAGGATGCGTTACAGGACGATGCATGCGGGACTTTGGCAAGGTATCACAAATGTTTCGGAAGCGATGTTTAGTAGATGAACAACACAAAATGTGACGCCGCTGTCTGTGGGGATATTTACACGGTCGTACCATATTCCTCAAATTCTTCTACCGATTGAGACCAAACTTATTCTAGAAAGTTCGGGAGTGATGTGCTTTCACAAGCAGAACTCGACGAAGAATGTGCCGAATCTGAGAACGGGAGAAACAGCATGATCGACACAAGTTAGATCCAAGTGATGGAAAGACCTGAGTAGCGTTCGTCGAATTGGTTCGCAAGAGCGTACACACAAGAAGGTGTGGGGAACTGGAATGATCACAGCGAGTGAGGCGAGAGCTGAGATAAAGTGGGCCGTACGGTTTTGACAATTTCAACGATGCAATAACCAGCATTACCCTATGCACACTAAACAGACGCTTTTGCGCATGTGTCACTGGAAACACAGATATCAGTCAACCAACACACTTTTATTTTTATCGTGGTATTATTTGCATTTGAGATTCTGATGATCGACAACTAAAGGGAGTTTTAAAGCTTTCACTTCTATACCGTAGTGTAACACTGTGCCACTGTTCGAATATATAGCGCAGCTGCAATGCTACTCACAAAGATAAACGACAAATCGTTGTAAGCATTTTGAAGCAATAGAAATCACAGTCCATCTTGAGATTGCGCATTGCGACTTAATTACGAAATGAGCGGTGCAAAATGACACCCCACTCAAGCATTAACCGTTGCGACAAGCGCTGCTCGTTGTCACTTAGTGGTTAAATGTTTAGAGGTTTTGAACTAATATTCGACAGCTCCAGGGTTCAGTGCTTTGATCTCCATCTGATGAGCTCTCAAAGTACGGAACAGGTAGTTGCATGCAGCATTTTCAGGTAGGCAGCATCCAATATTCACCTGCATCATCAGTTAAGGTCCAAGTATGCAAAGTGACCAACATTTTCTTCAGAGCGGATAGTAAAGCATATTGAATTTTCCCCTCACAATCCATTTACCACAACGACTCCTTCCATGTAGGAAAACCTACCTTTGCTACACACGCTGTTGCTTTCTCCTGGCTCAGCAGGGCTGGTTGGCTATTACTACCTTCAATTATCGTCCTGCACGACGCGTTTCGTCTTACTTTAGACCCACCAGATAAAGATGGCATAAGCTGGGAGTAGAACTCGACTCGTAATGGTTGGTGATTTTCGCCACTATCACTTGCCTATTGAGCTTTGCAAGCAGCGCTTGACAGGATGGATGGAAGTTGATTGCTTGGCTTTGTGGCTCCAACCGGATTGCGACACGCAATGCCCATTGTCGCTTCGGTTATCTTTGAATGCGACATCTGCATTCCAGGCAGTTGGATCGTATCTGACCGAAGTACAGAGTTTTGTTGTTGCTCTCTCCTTTTGCTGCCTTTATAACTTTTGGAATATATTTATCTGATGAGCAGTATAATGAGAGAGTTACACCGAAACCCTCCACTTCGGATACCATCCCATTGCGCGGAATGGTAGAGGTTGACTTCAAAGTTCAAATGTTTGCCTTTCGCAATTTAACATTCATGACGATTGCCACAAAACATGACAAACAGAAGGACTGTCTTATATTTCCTACACTCTTACCATCCTTTTGACTTGAAACTGTAAGTCTTTTTTACGTAGCCTTGGCAGTTGAAGTTTATTGCTGCATGATGGATCTGTCACTTACGTTCACTGGCTACACATTTTAACCGAACTTTCAACGTCGTGGCTTGTGCTGCTTCGTAAACCTTGCGTGAGAAAGAGAAATTTGGGTTTCGAGCCAATTTATTCTACTAGTTGGAAAATAAATGAGCCATTGTCGCGTCGATGAAATGTTTAACCTTCCGACAAGTTAGCATACCTTTGTTTCATTTTATTATTCTGTTTCTTTGCACTCCATTAATGGCGATTTAGTTGCGTGAATTTCGCAGGGTAGGGCACTTGCTGTTGCGCAACCATATGATGTCGATAATGGGTAGCTAATTATCGATAGTCTTTAAATGCATAGAAGGTCTTTTCTTGGTTAGTCTCAAACCTCAAACACATTTAGGCACATCGTAGCGGAAGGTGAATACTGAATAGCTTTAATTGCCAAAGTTCTTATCAGATCAATTTGGAGTAGTGGATAAACGAACGTTTTAAAAGATTTGTGTAAAACTCATTTGAATGACCCGGTGGGATGGTTAAGCATTTGTTATGATCGTTAAATGCATCACATGACCTGATAGAAATCCTTATCCATGTTGGGAACTTACTAACTTTTAGCCGAAATCACTGTCAGTAAGTCTACAAAGATCAAGATTAACTCTTCGCGGGCACTACTTTGCGCATAAATCGATACCGAAGCTACGGACACAGCTTATGACGTATTTCACGTTAGGAATCAAAATAAGATATTTTAACTTGTTACTGCCTTTCACTTGTGTAAACATGACACTTGATTGATTTTTGCATCGGATTTGGACCATTATAATCTTTATCCGAGAAGTTTATTGGCGATCAACGGTTCGTTAAATAAAAATTATTTTCTAATTAATTTATTGACAACTTCAGACAAGTTTCTAGTTGAAAATCGACACTAGCACATATTTTCTTTCACAATAGTAGCACTGATTTGTACATGGCTTAACAGCTTTGAGTGACATTACTGGCCAGAAGGAAGATATATGGTACCATGCCCAACCAGTCTAATAGTGTGCAGAAAAGATTAAACTCATTAGCAGGTTTTCTAAAGACCTATTTGTGACGCAGCTAGCTTTAGCAATGCATTCTAAAGTTTTGAAACGATTTCCTTAGTTTATTTTGCCCTGCCTGATAGTCCTCAACTATACTACGCTTCAGTGAATTATTAAAGGGATCCATGTTTTGCAGAGAGAACGACTTCTTGACTTAGATTACGCTGATGATATTGCCTTTATCTGTGATAGCTCACAAATGTGCCAAGTGGCACTGGACAGATTAGCACTGGCTGTCCGTCACTTCGGGTTTTGCTTCGCACCCTCGAAGTGCAAAGCGTTCCTCCAAGATTGGTCTGGACCGCCCCCTGCGCTGACCGTTGGTGGGGATCAGCTAGAAGTCGTTCAAAAATTAAACTACCTAAGAGGTTGTATCAGCGCCTGTGGGATCGAAGATGAGATCACGAACCGTATAGCAAAAGCTCGGGGCGCTTTTGCTAACCTTCGCCATTTATGGCGCCGGCGCGATATCACTCTTGCCCTGAAGGGTAGAGTGTACAATGCAGCAGTACGTTCGACCCTACTGTACGGTTGTGAAACCTGGTCGCTTAAAGCAGCGGACTTCAAGAGGCTAGTTACTTTCGACCACCAGTGCCTTCGTAATTTAGCTCACATCTGGTGGGAACACCGTGGGAGAAACGAGCGTGTTTAACGCCTTGTTTATGGCACAGGAAAAGCAACTGAACCGCTCAGCACCGTTATTTCACCAACCAGGCTCCGATGGCTCGACCACTTGTTACGCATGCCAGCCTACCGACTCCTGCGACGTGCGTTGCTTGCGCGCCGGGGGTGTGGATGGAAGAAAAGGAGGGGTGGCCAAGCGATGACTTGGTCCAATGGAATGAAGGCCCTCACTTCTGAGCTGGCCTCGGTTGGAGCGTCTTGGCTCCCTGGTTGGGGTCCGAAAGACGATGAACACGTTTGGTTGGACACATTTGCTGATATGGCTAGGAGCCGACCTCAGTGGCGTTCGTGCTGTGAGTTTCGTTGTTCCACCCCATCCCTCTTAGCCTCCCCTCTGTTGCGGGCACGTCAAATATTCCCGCAAAAACACGCCAGAAACCCCGGCAGAATGGCTGTGGAAACCGAGGTCCAATTCCTCCCCACAACGCAGCAGAGCTCAGCCACTCCGAGACGCGCCCCAACTGTGAACCTTTTGACAATGGTCATTTACAAACTACCACCTCGTCATGGTAGAAATTTTCCCTTACTTAGTAACCCATAGCATCGGCTGTGATCGCCCTTTTTCGGTCGTAAAAGAGTCTCCCTAGGACCACTTGCCTTTTCTTTCTCTTCGCCTCAGTTAGGAGTCGGTCGGGTCGCGTGATTGCGTGTGAGTCGTTAGCTGGCCAACCTTCGCGTCTAAGTCATTAGCGCGCGTCTATCATAACCCCCTCTCGTTTGCGTCCGTTCCGAGGCTCAGCGTCAATCCGAACACGTGCGGCTAGGATTGTTCACAAGCTCGCTCAATTATCCGCCTCACCGGCAAAGCTAGCGTCATCAGCACAGTGCAATTCCGTTCCAGTGGTCAGAGTAACAAGCCGTCATTGTAGGCGTGCCAGCGACACACTTATCAGGCAATTACGCAATTATCTCAAGAGGCGGCGTTCCCTCAATTATAACACCCTCCAATCACGATCTCATTACTTAATTTTATATAATTTTGCATAGTAATTTTTTGATGCACAGTAGCCGGCTGGTGGCTTAACGGAACGATGTCCATCCGTTACTGATAGCTCAGCCGGCTTGCACGAGTTGCATTTTTTTCTTTTTTCTGTGTATTGCGGCACAGTAGCTGAGGTGTTCCCCACCTCTGGCTAACGTGTATGATGATGATGACGATGTTTGCAGACTGACAAAAATTTATCAAGGCAATTTGGTTTTGCAGCTGACTTGTTCCGGATGACTTGCAGAAAATGACATTTTATTAATTCTTTAAAACAACTGTGTATTAAAAATCAGTTTTCACTATCGCCTCAATGGCAAACTCATTTTCTCTGTACGCATATTAAAACAATACCACGTGTTTTGTATAGGTGGAAGTGACATGGTCAAGTTCAGCAGCAATCACCTGTACACCTACGCTTTCGAAATAGTTCACAGAATAGACGCAGCTTGGATAGAGAAGCAGGATGTCAAAGAACACATAATGGGAAAGATGAGGCTGAGTGTGGGATCAAATTGTTTGTCATCACTACAGGTATGCGATTGGTTTCTTAATTGTGTGATCTTCCATTCAGTTGCGACCTTTTCCGAAAGATTTTTCCGTTACTTTGGCTGAAACCAGGGCTTGGATGTTTTGTTCTATATTCATTGCTATTTAACACAGCTAGCTACTCATTTGACAGTAATGGAGTCAGCTCAAAAATTTACTTGAATCAATCTGTACGTCAGCGTTTAGCCAGTGCATGCACAGGCTGCCTGTCCTGGTTTTTCCGCTAACTTATGAAGCCAGTTTGGATTGAGCACACTCCTGCTTTCAGAGGAGAGTAAACGCAGTATCAGCTACAGTACCACCTGACTGCTGTTTAGGTTCTAATTTACGGAAGTCTTGAGTTGTCCACAAAGCCCTTAACGGAAATAAAATTTGCATGAATGTCTGCTGTAAGCTTATCGGTTATGCTTAAATAAGTGTTCTGGTAATGAATCTCGCAGCGTAGTAGTCGGCATCACCAGATCTGGCCAACCATGAAGCAACGACATGTTGAAAAATGGGGCCTATGTTCAGGCATGGTTGAACGGTGTCTTGTACGGACACAACGCACACACACGTAGATGATTGAAACAAACCGTATGGTTTACAGGCAGCTGCTATCAGTGTTGCACTGTAGCAGCATTAGCAACATTCTATAGTAAATCAATGCCCGCTACACTCATTAACAGAAAAAGTAGATGCCTCGGGGTTTATCACGAACCCTTCGCAGCATAGAGTTGTTACGGCGCAGTTTTCATTTACTTATCTGTCTATTCCTAAAACACTACAAATTTTACTGTCCGTACTGGCGTCTAACGAGGGATATCATCATACGAAATCCTGAACAAGGTTTATAGCTCAAGAAATATGAGCATCCAGTTGGATTCACTGATTACATATCTTGCGACCAAAATAAATTCTCAGTATGCAGGCCGTAAAAGATATGGCTAAATAATAAACGAGCAACTCTTCGGAGGAAAGAGATGCAGAACTGTGTAATACGGAGATAATTTCAGGAATATTCTTTTCGCATTCAGCAAATTGATTAGTAATACCTAATTATGGAAAATTTATATTTATTTCCAGCAATGTATTTATAAAGTGCAGAAGTAGTACACCTCCCTTGGGTATCCTTGACTGAGCTGACTTTTCCTAATTGTTAATATTTTCCTTTTGTTTATTACTGTTTATCAAGATACTAAATATATCATTAACATCGAGAACTGAATCACTCGGGATGAACAAAGCGGCCACTATGGGTGATGATCTATTCAAACAAGAGCTTTTGGAAGCCATTTGGTTTTGTTACGATAACGGTCGCATCTCTGCTTTTCAATGGCGCGCATTTGACAATGCACTTGTTGCAAATCTGAAAGGGGCGCTTTTGTCTCAGTTGCAAGTTTCAGCGAGTAGTACGCACTTGCCGACCTTCACTACCGAAGTAAGTCGTTGGCAATGATCAGAGTAATCTGGGTTGATTGGCAAAAGCTGTGAGAATTTGTTATATTTACGGCTGCGTTATTTCAACGCAAAATCTGCAAACCTAAAAATCACGACTCAGAGAATGTATGACCTAGTATACCTGGAGCAGTGCTGAGCAACATGCAAGAAATTTCACCAACATTATGACAATATAGTAACCAGCAAAATATGGAAGGATCAGAAAACACCGGTTAAGTGAAATTTCCTAGAACTCAATAAATACCTTTACTCAATTTCTTTTGGGTTTCGTTGCTCACAAATGATTGCGTTTGGTACCAAAATTCCAAACTGTGTATTGTAACTAAAAATATCAACATTGTGTCAGTTTACCGTTAATAAAAAGGTACTATTTTGAGGGTACAAAAGAAGTTCTTAAGTAACTTGTCCTTTTGATATACCTTGTAGCTTCATATTATGAATTACGTAACCGTTCCTTGTACCCAACCGAAAAGAGCATGCGGTTTGAATAAACCACGAGATAACTTATTTCGTTTATTTGCGCCTCTACACATTATCGCTTTGGCTCAAACTTCTTCCTCGTCGATTAGTAACCATTACTGATTTATTCGCAATCGGGCTTGTAACCACAATACTTGCGTTTTTTTCGATGACCTAACTAACTCAGTGTAAAATTCCGAGTGAATAAGCAATTAGGTAAACAGTATGATTCATTGTGTCGTTGGTGATTGGTGTAACACTTCAATGCCTCCAAGGTGTCCTCATGTTCTTTTATAACAGAGTTGGTCGGAAATTAACCTTCATTTTCTAACCTGAATAGAAAGTATTCTACTTCATTCGATCTGCTCAGTTCTGTTATTCTACCGCGTATTCGTGTCAACTTGCGTGTTTATTTTCCTTGCAATGTTATGTTGGTTTTTGATATTCCTGGTGTGGCTGCGCTTGGGGTGAACGTTGACAAGGTGTTTAACTGTCTGGCACCTACCACCTTGATTACTGGCTCCAGGAGACTGAATCGTTGCTGGGGGTACGGGGTTCACGGACTTCGGTTCCACGCTAAGCTCAAAGAGGGATTCCAGGCACTCGGTGTGGAGCGGATTACGGTCCGGCCACCGCCTTGTGTACGTCTGGTACGCATGGTTCCCCAAGTAGGCAACAATGCTTGTGCTCTGCTTATTTAAGGAATGTGGTTCGTCTACGTTAATGAAACGTGGCTCCCATACACATGTCTCCCGGTCTTATTCTTTCAGTTCTACATCATTGTGTGGGTGGAGCTGTGAGTGGTGCAGCGCGACCCACCCGTTGTCCCTGTGTAGGCACAGGCGTCCTGCGGCTGTCCTTTGGAGGCCCCCGTGACAAGCGAATCCGGACACGGATGCCGTCAATCCCGGTAGAAATCTATGGTAAACAAACTTAAGTTGGATCTTGCGCAACTCTTGATAACAGGGAGCTTCTGGTGTTAACTTACTCTCCTTTTATGATCACTGCATGCTTACAGAACTCGGCTTCTAGGTTTTCAAATTACGCTGGCACTGTTGCATCGACTAGTCCGCTGTATTGTTAGCCAAGAATAGTTTGACGTCACGCCCTAGTGTCAGCTTCCAGACTGCATGTGTAAAGCCAAACGCAATACCAGCACCTCAACCTAATGCCTCAGCAACTGTACATAAAGTGGATTTGGAAAACGTTCTCGTAAGACAAGATGATAGAAGACATCCTGGTGAGGGTTCAAGTATAGTTGGCGTGTATATATCAACTGTGAAGAACAACTAGCAGTACAGTAAATTAAGACGTTTCCAAGGATCATATATGATACCAGCTACTGCGCGACATGTCGTGCTAGACGAGTCAAGAATGGATTAACTCATGAGAACAACAAAACTTCGCTTTTTGGGAACCTCTTTACTTGACATTGTTTTCTTCGAACAAAACAACAAAATAAGATGTTATTAGCGGGTGCAAAACTTAACACATGAATTAATCAACGGGGGTAGAACTTCTTTTTATTAACTTTGCCTTGAAACGTTTTTTGTCACATGAAGCTTGGCCAAAAGCTTTTCGGAGAATTCTGTATTTAAGTAAGATAACTGGAGCTGCGACAATGGTTAGTATTCATTGCAATTTAATCGTTTGAACCGTGTATTCGTGTGACTAATTTGCAATTCCAGTTGCATCCCATTCAACAAAATAATGGGAAATACATCCACCTCGAGATGCTGAATGGAAAGTTCTTACCTCCGAGAGTGCTAACCGCTATCACAAACTATCAAATAAGGATGATTAATTCCAACTACTTAATGGTATCTATAATGTGTTGTCAAGTAGGGCTTTTTAATTAGGTAGATTTTACCAAAGCCCTTGTAAAGGGGACTGCATTCAGTGCGAATGTTGTAACTTGGAATGACAAATATTCTGCATTATGTATAAAAGGTTGGTATGTATACATAATCCGTAAAACTGGAAGTAACTTAAATCGCAGTGTGAATTATTTCGGCTCAATTTGTACCATTAAAAATGGAATTCACCGATAGGAGGCAGATAGGATATTGGAACATCAAAATACAATTATCACAGATAAAAATACATAATAAAATCTCTGTTTCACCATGCGAATAGATTGGTCTGAAGCGCTACGCAAATATTAAGTTACAAGTCTAACTTATTTCCTGGTAACTTTGTTGTTAAGTGAAAGAATTACATAAAATGAATTTGGTAATGGTGGACGACTCAAAAATTTGAAAGCTGTTATACGCAAATCGGTTTTGTGTAAATTTGCAGTTTATTAGTGCTTTCCTAATGCGATGTTTTTGAACCGAAGAAGGTATTTTGTAAAGTGTCTAACGTTGCCACAATGGTATATAAAGCCGTTATAATTTTAAAAATTTTAATTAACCAAATAATTTCCAGTGCTCATAGAAAGTGTCGGCAAGCAGGACGTTTCTTTTTAGTCTACATCGTAACTAGCCTCACATAGCCCCGTTATGAAATTTATATAAACTTAAATAAACTAAACTAAACTTAAACTAAACTAAAGTTCTGATATCTAGCTAAGTTGTATTATTAATAGTTGTTCCGTTCATCCTTAATGAACCTGTGAAAAACACTGTTGTGATCTTTTCATGTGTTGCTGTAACTTACAATCTGGGGCGCCGGCCCGTAACCTAAAGGATCAATAGTCTACCGTGTAATCGGAGGGCGTGGGTTCGAGCCTGCGTACGCACCGGGCGACCGTCGTAGTAACCTTAGCCCATCTGCGGCTGGTGGTGGATTCACGGCAGCGTAGCGTCCGTCCTGCGTTTCGGAGTGCTACTGTGCCCTGCGTAAAGTCTGGGGGACAGCGTTAGGGGAAGAACTGATTTAGGGCAACGTGTATGGTGGAGGTTAGATATTGATAGATTTCCATACGACGGCACTTGCACCAAAACCAACAGTCTGGTGGTATTTCCTTCTTAACATTAAGTTACTTATTATAAGCATTGACGATAAAATTTAGTTAGTTCAAAAACTTGGTTCAACTAAACATTTTAAAACAGACTTTAGTAATGGTGTTGGTTCGGCTACCATTAATGTACCTCAAATATACTATACTTAATCCTGATACAAATTTCTAAATATAAACAACGGGTGAAAGATATCAAATTGTGACGAAAGCGAGTGCGTGCCGTATCCGAACAGGAGAGACTTTGAAATCAAAACCCGCTCATTCACCTAGGTAAATGCGTTGCATTTGTACAATAGCATGCGGGCAAAACTATGAAGAATATCAGAATTATTATAATGCAGCTCAGGTTTTGGTGCGTTTAATTGGGATAGCGGATAGAAGTATTAGTTTATCATATTCATGAATCAAGCAGTTCGTCACTCCTTTGAAAATTGCTCAAAAGGGACTTTTGTAGATAACAGTACAATTCTCCCCATCGGGATTTTTAATCAGTGATCAAAATTAATTTCGAGTTACCCTAGAGAAATAGCTGGCTTATCTGTTAAAGTTTAAATCTCGGATTGACAATTTTATTTCGTGCAGCTCAATATCTTGAAGCATGGGCGTTTTTCTGTATAAGTTTAAAAATTGAAACTGCCGTTCCGCTGTCATATATTTTAGTCTTATAGCACAGGGCTCTATTGCAAAATTGAAGCCGTTCTTAAAACAAAAGTTACCGGATACAGCTGAATGGCTTATAGTTAGTTGACGTCATGACGTATTCACATGAACGGAATGAATACGTTCACATGCAGTACGCATTTGATTTCAGTCGATTTCATTTGGTCTTATACTGTGATATGGGGTCGTACTGGAGATAACAGTCAAGTTCGATCGTAACCTCATTGTCTTCTCTGTTGGTACACTGCGTGTTTAAGCCTACGACGTCGCATCAGAGCGTTGTTTTATTTGAGTTCATTGCAAATTGTCGCCTGAGCACACCTTTACCTACTGGTCTAACAATAAACTCACTGTATTTAATATATAAATAAATTGGATTCGTAATTCCCTGGCTGCCAAGATTCGGTTGGCATGATAGGGCATAGCGCAAAATTTAGTGCTTTAATAGGTCATTATCTGGGTTGATTATAAATCCAGAGAGCATGGAACTAGCAATTCTCCAGTCCGAACTGACTTGTCAGTGCATATGTTGACGCTAGCATTTGATTGTCTCGGGAATAATTAAAATAAACAAATTTCTTTACTATTAGATGTGATGGAGGATTTCATAAACTGATAAATTTATATAGCCCGGTTAAGAATACATATTCAGCCACAAAATATTCCACTGTGCCATGATCTGTTACTTAGTATTGAAATGTACGAAGAGTGTGACCTGATACCGCCGGCGCTTTAGAAAGTCCTCACCCACTGGTTTGAATCTTGGATTCTCGTATTATTTTGATAGCTAGTAGTAGTTTTGAATACGAACTAGTATACATTTGAGTTATTCTGAAGACCATAATGTCAAAAAGTAGCTGGATTGCAATTTTCTACGTTAGTGTGTCCCCGCTAACAGG